GACCTTCACTCCACTCTTGCAGACAAGGTGAAGGGACAGTGGGGATATCTGGGAGGGTCTCTTGGGTTGAGGGTCTTGGGTCTCCTCAAGGGTTGATGGTTCCTCCATGGGAGAACTTGGTCTTGGGTGTCTTGGAGACACCCTGGGGACTTGAGGACCTTAGGGACTTTCATTCCTGCCTTGGAGACACGGTGAGGGGACAGCGGGGAGGGTCCCTGGGGCTCCTTGGATGGAGGAACTTGGGGTGAGGTTCTTGGGTCTTCCCAAGGGCTGATGGTTCCTCCATTAGAAAACTTGGTCTTGGATGTCTTAGAGACACCCTGATGACCCTGGAGACCTTGGGAACCTTCATTCCATCCTTGGGTCACAGTGAGGGGACAGCAGGGACACATGCGAAGGTCTCTTAGGTTGAGGGTCTTGGGTTTCCTCAAGGGTTGATGCTTTCCTCCATTGGAGAACTTGGTTAGTCTTGGGTGTCCTGGAGACACCCCGGGGACTTGGGGACAACAGGGACATCTGGGAGGGTCCCTGGGGCCTTCTGGATGGAGGAACGTGGGTAGAGGGTCTTGGGTCTCAAGGGTTGATGGTTCCTCCACTGTAGAACGTGGTTGGTCTCAAGTGTCTTGGAGACACCTTGGGGACCTCAAGGTCCTTGGGAACATGAAGAGGGGACAACACAGACATCTGGGGGGGTCCCTGGGGCCTCTTGGATGCAACAACTTGGATAGAGGATCTTGGGTCTCTTCAAGGGTTGATGCTTTCTCCATTGGAGAATTTGGTTGGTCTTGGGTGTTGTGGAGACACCCTGGGGACTTGGGGACCTCAAGATACCTCAGGACATAGTCCGAGAACAATAGAGACATGTGAGAGGGTCTGTTGGGTTGAAGGTCTTGGGTGTCCCCAGGGGCTGATGGTTCCTCCACCAGAACTTGGTCTTGGATGTCTTGCAGACACACTAAGAACCCTAGAGACCTTGGGGACCTTCATTCCATCCTTGGAAACACAAGGAAGGGACAGTGGGGACATGTGGGAGGGTCCCTGGAACCTCTTGGGTGGAAGAACTTGGATAGAATGTCTTGGGTCTCCTCAAGAGTTAATGGCTCCTCCTTTGGAGAACTTGTTTCGTCTTGGCGACACCATGGGGACTTGGGGACCTCCAGCCCAACCTTGGGGACACATCATGGGGACACCAGTGGAAATACATCTAGGACCCTGGGGAGGGCTCTTGGGTTGAAGGCTCCTCTCTGCAGAACTGGGTTTTTCTTGGGTGTCCCGGAGACACCCTGGGGACCTTCAGCTCCTAGGGAAACTCAATGTCCTTCTTTGGGGACCTCCATATGCTGCTTGGGGACCTTGAGCTCCTTGAGAACCTCCATGTCCTTCTTGGGAGCCTTCAACTCCTTGGGAGCCTCCATGAGGACCCTGAACTCCTTGGGGACCTCCACCCCCAGCCAGAACCTCCTTGACCAACCCCATCCAGATGCCACCAACCACCCCGGCAGCCACCACGAGGCCACCTTGAGGACCCCTTGGGGCTGCCTTGGTGCCACTCACCGAAGACGAAGTTGTCCGGCCGGAAGATCTGCCCGAAGGGCCCCGATCGCACCGAGTCCATGGTGCCCGGCTCCAGGTCCACCAGGATGGCGCGCGGGACGTACTTGCCCCCTTGGGGACACGGCGGTGTCACCCGCGGCGGGGGAGGGGCCCCGGGGGGCCACCCCCGTGTCCCAACCTGCCCCTCCCCCCATAAACAAGGAGCAGGGATGACGGGGACACCAAGGGGGAGGCCAACATGGGGGGGACTCGGGGGTGGGGACAAGGGCCTTGGGGACGGGATTGGGATAAGAATGGGACGGGGGACAAAGGTGGGGCTTGGGGACAGGACTGGGGACAAGGTTGGCTCTTGGGGACAGGACTGGGGACAAGGTTGGCTCTTGGGGACAGGACTGGGGACACAGATGGAGCTCGGGACAGGGAGACGGGGCTGGGGTTGGGGACAAGGTTGAGGCTTGGGACAAGGACAGGGGCCAAGACGGGGTTGGGGACACGGACAGGGCTGGGGTTGGGGACACGGGCGTGGCTGGGGACAGGGGACAGGTGACAGGGAGGTACCGGTGGCCTCGTTGTAGTAGACGCTGATGCGGTCGAGCTGCAGGTCGCTGTCCCCGTGGTAGGTGCCCGTGGGGTCGATGCCGTGCTCGTCACTGATGACCTCCCAGAACTGCCGGGGGGGACAACGGGGACAGTCAGCGCCCGGACACCTGGGCCCCCGGGGGACCCTCCCTTGGGGACACCCTCATCCCCCCCGGGGACATCCCGGACACCTGGGGGACCCTCGCTCCCTTGGGGACACCCACATCCTCCCTTGGGGACATCCCAGACACCAGGGCCCCCAGAGGACCCTCCCTCCCTTGGGGACACCCTCATCCCCCCCGGGGACATCCCGGACACCTGGGCCCCTTGGGGACACCCAGGTCCCCTCCTCCCCCCTTGGGGACATCCAGGTCCTGTCCCCTGCTTGGGGACCCCCCCCCCCCACCTTGGGGACATCCCAGCCCTGTTCCCACCAGGTCTTAGGGGAGGGGCGGGGCCTGAGCTGGGGGCGGAGCCACTGCTGGGGCCCGGCCTATCCC